GAGTCAAAGCAATCCGTTGTCGAGGATTTTTGGTTTGAAATTTTCAAATAATTTTCTGTTCGCTTTTTGCATATTGCATAATGGTAAAGAAAAAAAAGAATTTTAAATTCTAGTGTTGGATGCAAATTGAAGCGTCTGAAGCAGCTGTACATTACAAACTACAAAATATTTGAGAGATTTTTCCAAAATTTGACCTACGGTAATTAAATCTGTTGAATCCAAGAACGTTTAGTATTTTTCAATATTTTGCTTTGCAAGGGAAGTGAAATGGTCCATTTGAGAAGGTTATCAAAACAAATCATTTTTGCCGAAGCTGTCACTGGCGTCTCAAATGGATCAGAAGCCACTTAGTCCAATAGAAAAAGAAACAGACTTTTCTTCCATTGACTTCATCTGATTTGTTCATTTGTTTGTGATATAATCACTGATGAGTGTTGTATAGTTAGAAACAAAAATCATTGTAATATTGCCAGTCAATTATTCCAGAAAAAATCAAAAAGAAAGTTTTGCATAGACTATAAAACAAATTGATCATTCAATTTCATCTCGAAACATTTTTGTTCCGACTTTTGATACGAAAGTAACGGAATATTTGTGCTCGGGGTGGGTTTTTTTTTTCTTCAGACAAATTTCGACTTTTTAACTAGCCATTTTTGACGGAAATTTTTTATATCATTCGAAAGCTATTGTTGTCCTGAGCTCAAATTTGAAAAGATATTTCACCTGTGATTATTTTTCGTAAAATTATGAGGGTTTATAGATTGCCATTTTGGCCATTTTGACCAAATTGGGACAATTAACGCGCGATATAATTCGCGCTATTAACGCGTAAGCGGAGATTTAATCCGTCTTATAAATCGTTCCAAATTGGTTGAACGAAGCTTATGTGCCATAATTGATTTGTTACAAGGAACGAAATCTATCTTTTTGTAATTAATATGGCGTGTGGGGGGATGATTTTCTCAAAAAAATTCAACTTTTAGAAAAAAAAATTTTCATTTCATTTTATTTCTTTTAATTTTTTATGTTATTACTGCTGCTCCATAAACCTTAAATGCAGTCAGTCGGATTATTCAGGGCTTCGCCCTGATACGAGCAGTCTTGTTGTACTTTATATGGAGTGTGGGGGGATGTTTTTCTTAAAAAATTTCAAATTTTAGAAAAAAAATTCATTTTAATTTACTTCATTTTATTTTTTTTTATGTTATTACTGCTCCATAAACCTTAAAAGTTAGTCAAAACATTCAGGGCTTCGCCTTGATACGAGCAGTCTTGTTTCTAGTTTATTATCGCAACGGTTTTCAAATGCCGCGGTTGTTTTTTTTTCTCGGTAGAAACCTTCATCCTGTTGAATCAAATACTTGCTTTTTCTGGTAACCCCTCAACATATCGTCTCCAAATTAGGCTAATTGCAAAAAAAAACAAAAAGCACATTAACGCAAATCGGTTGAATATAAATGTCAAGTTTGACAACTGCATTTAAATTACCAGTTTGTTTGTTAACAAATGAAAAATTTTTCTCTTATCAGATTGTCATTTTTTGTTTGTTTTCCATTGAAGTTCTTTTTAATAGAAACCACACTATGTCCATCATCATTCTTAGCTTGCTCTCTTTAAGTTTTTTTCTGTTCTTTCTGAGTTGAAATCCCTCTGAAATCTTTATAACTTTTGTTCTGCTATAGATACATGTTTTTTAATCTTAGATTTATGGCACTCACATGATCAACTTCAAATTGAACGCAGTCAGTTAATCTTCGTTTTCTGAATGGTTTTTTGGTACATCTGGACAAATCAAAACTTTATTTTAGGCGCCTCCGTTTTTTCAACTTTCACAAGTTTGATTGCTCTTAAAGTACATTATTCATCTGGATTTATGAAATTGGTTTTCTAAGTTAGTAAAATTTTTTATCTGGGTTTCTAAAAGTAATTCTGAGAAATTCGTTAGTCAGGTATATCAAACATCTTCCATCAAGTTGCTGATGAAAAAGTTGTACGCTTTTATAGAAGTTAAGTTGGTTGGCTCACGTTAGTTTTTTGTTACTGGTTGGAAGTGTTGAAACATTTTGGAAGAAGTAACAAACAATCTAAAAACTTTTCTAGTCTAAATTCATATTTAATAACAAAATCTTTACACTGATAATGAAATATTTTTGAAGTAAGCAATGACATTGTATAGTTTCAAAGCATTTTCCACAATTTTCTAACATTTTTTTTTTCTTAATTAAATTCTTTGACTTTGAATCCTTTTTTATTTTTGAAAAATTAATTTTTGAGATTGACAATTGTATCAGGTTGTAATATTTGACAATTTTGAGGTGAGAAAATCTTTGATATTGTGAAATTACTTCCTTCAAAAAATTGTCTCGAAAAAACTCGTAAAACTAACAATTTCGCTCAAATTTTTTAGTATTTTGCAAATGTTATTAAACAATAAAATCTTTTATTAATTATATCTTTTTTTATGATAAAAATGGTGCTCTGTGTTTATTTTTTGAGTGAAAAAGTTTTTCTGTTTATGTAAATGAAATGCAGAAGTGATCATGGTTTCTTACTTAAAAGTCTCAAAAATCAATTTCCGATTGCTTTCGATTAAATAGTAATCTAATAGTTGTTGAGCATTCTGTGCTTTCTTGATAGAGCTCGAAGCTTCCTCTTTCGTGGACTGCTTCGAATGATAGTTTCTGACGGTCCATCAATTTTGTTAAATGTGGTGAAGTTTCTAGCAATCCTACCTCCTTTCAACAGAAGAGGGACTCATCGGCTGGCTCCGAAGCTGACTTGAAATAACGAATCTTGGGATAAACCAGCCCGACGGTACCAGCGACTTCAATTTTTATCACCAAGATTCTTTTATAGTTCTCCGTGATAAGGAGACTCAAACAACTGATGTTCATTGATAACTCTCACTCATAAATATAACTTCCTCCTTGGGCCAGACTTAAAGTTAGAGTGGTCAGGGGGTCGAAATCTTGAGAAGAGGCCAAGCCGCGCATCCCCAAAACCACTATTGGTTAACTGAGGTTAAAAAAGGTTTGCAGGTTGAGGGGCAGATTTGCAGACAGAAACCGTTTAAATGAAAATAGGGTATGCTATTCTACCAGCCCCTGCGCTCACCAAATACCAAATCTCCAGTAATTAACATCAACTTTACTTGCTCTCATTGATTTTACGCGGTGGTTTTTGAAACCAAAGCTTGTTTGTGATTAGTTAATTAACTCACTTGTCAATTTTCAGGTCAATAATTGAACAATCTGACAAAAATTGAAGAATAAAAAATTTATAGGTGAGGGGAAACGGCAGAAGATCCAAACTGAGATTGAATCGAGTTGGTCTGTCTCTATTGGGTCTAGTTTTTTAGTTTTTTCGTGATTATTTTTGCAGTACTAAAAATTTGCTCATTAACACCATTTCAAAGTAGAAAGTTTGAACAGAGAACCATTCGAAACTGTTGAGCGTCATCGGTCTATCTTCGTACAGTCACGGGATATAGAAGTTGTAACTTTATGATTTCAAAGAGCAACTGATTAAATTTTTTCTCCATGTTCGGGTCGTTTTATCAGCAAGTATCAATTATTTAGGATATATGGTTCATTGTTTGACATATTTTAGATGAAATTTTTTGGAAAGAATTAGCCGGCTCAAAATTTGAGAAGTTTTTTTTCGAAGGCGTCAATTAGCCAGTGTATCATTACTAGTTTTAGAGGTGTTCATCTTGTGGAAACAACTTCGCAATCAATATAATGAATGCGACCTATTGGGCTCAAATGAGTGCTTTGGGACGCTGATGAGCTTGACTTACTCAATATTCCACGAGCCCCCTAAAAATGAAAAATAGCAGAATAGCCGGTTACTGGGCATGTACCACAGAGTGACCCAACCATAAATTCAAAAACACCAAAAAAATTCCTGGAACTTCGGCATAATCCACAGTAAAAATGGAAAAAAAGTTTTACAAAAACGAACAGAAAAACAAAAAGAATGTACAAAAGATCAAAAAAAGTTTTAAGTTCATTTGCTCAATTTTTTTGCAAAAATTTTTTGAATTTTGAAGAGAAAACTGAAATAATTGTCTCAAAATGGCGCCAGAAAACTCCATTAATTGATTTTAGTCTAACTTTTCACGATTTAAAGTAAGCATAAACAAGCTATTTTAAGCCTTCTCACTCGCTTTATTCGCTCAAAATAGAAACATAAATAAAAATTTTCAAATCAGTTTTTCTCGATGCTGAGGAAACTTTACGAATGAAAGGTTTACGACCTTACGAATGAAAGAAAAAAAACTGAAACCTCCAGGAGTGCAAAGTTTCTCCACATTTTTCAAATGGTCCGAACAAACAGTTACTCAGCCTGCGGTCAAAAAAAAATGTTTAAATTGATGAATATTTCTGCATTGAGGATCAAAATAATTCAACAAAAATTTGTTCAATTTTCTAGTGAAAGCTCTCAAAAACTTTTATTGTAAATGCCGTCAAAACAGATTTGATTTCTTTTCGACACGGGTCTAATAAGTTTTTCAATTCTATTATCTTTCGTTTTTAGGTGGTATACGGTGTAAGTCAAGCTCATCAGCTTCCCAAAGCACTCATTTGAGCCTAATAATTTGCGTTCCTTATATTGTTTGCAAAGTTGTTTCCACAGCAAGAACACCTCTAAAACTATTTATGATATACTGGCTAATTTACGCCTTTGAAACAACTTTTGGCCCGTCTAAGCCCTTTCAATTAATTTCATCCACCTTTTGTCAAAATTTGAAACCTGTATCTTTAATAGTTGCAGAGAAAACGAACAAAACGTGAAGAAGTTTGTTCAATCTTCGTTGAAATCAAAAACTGCAATTTCTATTTCCCGTGACTGTACCATTAAAACAAATGAAGCTAGATGTACATAATGCGTGTGTAGTTTTTATATAAAATCATTATACACTCATAGATGCACGTGCAATGTACACTTTGAGCCGGACTGCAAATCACTGCGTAATAAATTTTTCATTCTATCTAATCGGAATCACACCTGGCATAATAAGCAAAATATCTAAACTGATTGAATATCCAAACTGGTTTTAGATCATAAATTGAAAAATAATTATTTCACATTATTCTATAGTTTGTTTACATTTCGCTGTTTTGATGAAGTTTTAGTTTTTTTCTCATCTAGTTTTTGTTTTCCATCTAAAATGACCATTGAGACTGCAGGTGTGAACAAACGCACTTTGAACGATCAGACAGACGCAGAAAAGGATGCGGAATATGAAAAATTTAAGGTAGGAATCTAAATTTTCAAGACTTTTCGAGGCCTTATCTTTTTTATCTTACCAGGTACTAGACCCTTGAAACTGTTTCACTATTAGTCAGTTTTAAGCCTTCTAGCCATGGAAAATTCAAATTAACCCGATTCCAAAACATTTTTAAACTGAAGAATGATGAGTTGACCATTGCAAAAACTCGATTACTTGCTCAAAACGTTCCAAGCTCCAACAAACGCCTTTCACGCACGTTTTCCCACTTTTTTTAATCAAAAAAGGGTTTCTTTTTGTGCTGGGAGAGCTCGGGAAATCAAATTAACCTACCCTAAACAAAATATTGATAGAGATTTAGAAAGAAATGGCAAAACAAATGTCTACGAATGTTTAATGGTTGAATAAACCTAGTTTTATTACATTCTTTTCGGACTGCTAATTGACAAGAATTTGATGTAACATCCAAAATTTCCTCTTGTTTTGCAGAAAGAGTGGGAAAGTGAGGAATTGGCCCAGGTCAAGGTCAAAGTGCTCCAAGGTCATGAAAAGAGTGTGAACAGATGCGCCTTCTTGGACCAGACAAAGAGCAACCTTCTCTCCTGCTCCAGCGACAAAACATGTGGGCTATTTTCCCCATAGTTACAGTTTAGGAAATTGGTGATTTAAAATATAGAGCGTGCTATAGAAAAGTCTCGGCTTTTTTCCACTTCACTTGCATTGCATAATTTCAGCTGCACGTGCCTTTCACGTAGCAATACGGGTTAAGGTGTTGTTCTTTGATAGAGGGTATAGAAAAAACGCATTTCAATTTGAGTTCCTAGCGGCTCTTTTTAGCTACGAACCTAGCATAAATTTTATGGATTAACGACTTTAAAAGTATTAGTTCTTATAATAGTACGTCTCGGTGTTTAAAAATAAAAAGAATTTCTGATCATTTATATTCCATGAAAGTGGTTTAAGTCAAAATCAACAACCTTTCATTAACAGCATTATTTTTGATGTCATTTAAAAATTTAAAAGTCATAAGTCAATAATGTTTCACTCCTTTCTCGAATATAGCAGTTACCGTTAGAGTCTTTTGATTCTAAAAAACCATGTCTGAAAATTGACCAATCACAGACGAGTATTTCAACACTCCCCCTCAAAAGGTACTTCCAAAGAGTAGCTTGCATATCTGCGCCAAACGAACACGTGAAAGTCCTTTTGTGAGATCATCCGCAACCATAACTGCAGTAGGAAGATATTTTAACGTTATCTTACCAGAGCGAATTTGTTCTCGAACAAAGTGTACTTTAATGTCGATATGTTTGGCTTTCGATCTTGAAGCTGTTTCATGAGCTACACAGATTGCTTCTTGGTTGTCAAAATAGGGACAGTAGTTTTATAGTTAACACTCTCAAATACATGTTTAAGGAACAAAACTTCCTTAGCCAAGGCCGATAGAGCCATATATTCTGACTCGCATATAGATAATGATACCGAACGTTGTTTAGCAGTTCGCCAGAATACCGGTGAGTCTGACTCATTCAATTTAAAAAACCATGCCAGATACAGATTTTCTGGTCTTTACGTCGCTTGCCCAATCGGCATCATTGTACGCAAAAACACTTAGACCATTATCATGTCGTGAATAAGAAAGGAAATAATTCGTGCCCTTTAAATAGCGTAGGACTCTTTTTGCTGCAATAAAATCTAGCACTATTGGACTTTTGCACGCATGAGAGATTGAGTTTACTGCAAAAGCAATATCCGGCCTAGTTGTTACAGCTAAACACAATAACGCCCCCACTATCTGCTGAAAAATGGAACGATCTGTTAGAATTTTATCATCAGTTACATTTTTAGATGTAACCACAGATTCATGAACCGGTTTGCACCTTCGTATATTCCATTTTTTTCGATTAAATTTTTGACGTACCTTTCTTGAGAAAGTATTTTACGTTTTTCACCAACGTGAATTTTTATTCCCAAGAACCTTTCGGGAACGCCCTTATCTTCAAAACGAATCCGCTTACCAAGATTGGCAATCAGCTTTTACACTGAAATTTTGTCATTATCAAAAAACTATCATGTCGTCAACATACAAAGCAATGAAACTCATTTTTTTAGGATGATAAAATGAACAGGTGTCTACAGAGCTTCTTAGGTAAACAAGTTCCCATAAAGTTTTTGTTAGAAACTGATTCCAAGCTCGACTTGCTTGTTTTAAACCGTAAATACATTTATTGAGCTTGCATACATCACGTTCACCAGATTCAAAACCACGAGGTTGCTCAATGAAATTTTCATCCTCTGAGAACTCAAAAAAGCTGCTTTGACATCAAATTGTCGCATTTGTAAACCATTCTGTGCTGCAATGACAAATAAAGAGCGAATAACTGTCATAGTAATAGAAGGTGAAAAAGTATCAGTATATTTTTGTCCATAAAGTTGACTAAATCACTTAGCCACATAACGTGCCTTATATTGTTCAACTGAACCATCGCTTTTACGCTTTATATCAAAAAAGCCATTTGCTTTTCGCTAATGGTTTTCCAGAAGTTAAAGCCACAAGATCCCATGTTTTTTTTCTACAAGACTCTTGAACTCATTTTGCATTGCAGCTTGCCATTTTTCAGCATCAGTTGACAAAGTAGCTTCCTCATAATTAATTCGAACATTTCCATTGACGCTAGCAGCCATTGCAACATTACAGTTTTCATGAGTAGAAAAATCAAAATCGTAGTGCCATGCAGGTCTTCGAATCATCCAACCAGTCCTATTAGATGTAGGAATGTCAAGTCCCAAAGCACTAGAAAGTTCTTCATCACTCACAGATTGTTCTCTTGATTTGGATGATGTAGAACGTTTTGGTAAAAAAAAGGTATCGAACTGTCAGGAGTTGGGGAAGTAATATTTTGCAGGTTGTCTGCAGTTGGAGTGTGAGGAGAAGACTCATTGGCATCAGATATATCAAATTCATCGTGAGTTGTGTAATTTTCACGTGTATCTAAGTAGATTGGAATTTCTTGAATCTCCATTTGCATATTATGAGGACTAGATGCTGAAGATACTCTATGAGAAGAATCAATAGTTGTAGAAGTTGCTCCCCTTGTCGGTGGTAACGGCTGTTCAAGAGCAGGCAATACTTCATTTGCATCAGTTGCACTTGTTTGTGCATTATTGACCCCCACTGAATCTGTGACAGCCCCCACTGGATCATTGACCGGAAAAGGCAAAACAATAGCAGGCCTGGATCCGTTATTGAGGCCTGGGAATTGTTCTTCGTAAAATGTCACACTCCGTGAGCGATAAAACTTCTTTTTCACAAAATCAGAAAAATATATGCAGGAGTTGAACCTCCATAACCAGTAAAAACTGCCTTTTTGCCTTTGAGTAATAACTTGCGCTGGTGGGTTTCAATTTTTGATATACATAAGCAACCAAAAACTATTAAATGATGAAAATCGGGTTGCTTTCCAAAAAAACATTTCGTAGAGTGTTTTATCATCATTAATAGAAGATGTTAGTACACGATTTCTTGTGTATACTACAGTATCAACTGCCCTTATCCAAAAAGATTCTGGTAACTTTGAGGATAATAAACGAGCCCGTGCATTGTCAAAAACCGATGACCAATAGCGCTCGGCTATACCATTTTGATGAAGAGAATAAGGACTTGTGAATTACTGTGCAATCAATGCTGTTATTCTTGCAAAAATTTTTAAATTTGCGTGAAATATATTCCCCACCATTATCTGACCTGAGTGTAAATCCAGTTACATAACATGGTTGGACCACCGGATTAAGAAAAAAGCTGAGTTTTGCTAACGAATCGCCCTTAGAGGCTACAAAATATACTGTTGCATATCTTGAAAAATCGTCAATAAAAGATATTGCATATTTGTTTCCATGCAATGATTCCGGAAGAGGTCCACAAACGTCTCTGTGGACTAGTTGAAATTTTTGCGTTGCCCTAACTTGAGGGGTTTTAGATATGTCAGACGTAGATATCTTACATTCTGAACACGTAGTACACTTATCGATTGCCAATGAACCGGAAACAATCATGCCTTTTACTGCTTGATTTGCAGTTTTCTTCAATGCTTCACAATTTGCATGTGAAAATTTACATGCCATTTGGCATTAGACAATGTCGACATATTCGGCTCTTTTGCACTATGCTTAAACCAAAACAGACCATTTCTTTCGAAAAAGTAAATTTTTTATTGTCCCACACGTATATGCGTATTTTGGTTAAAAATCACTGTGTTTTCTTGCTTAACTAGAAGTGAAATTGATATCAAATGAAATTTGAAGCTCGGCACATATAATGCGCGCTGGAGATTAAACGTGTAATTAGCTTTATTACGATCGTAGAATGGGAGGCAAACTTCTTCAACACCATGTACTCGCTGTTGCGTCCCATCCCCGTTAGTATTAAATATCGCACTTCCGTCCCCGTCCAGCATAGAAAGCGTCTTGAACATTGATTTGTCTGGAATGATATGGTTCGTGCATCCACAGTCGATCACAATATCCATCGACCCATTTGAAGTAGCAGTTAGTGCAAACCCAGAGAAACCGCCTTGACGGTTGCTCAAATTTTAGTTGTCTACATGCTGCTTTGCGTAGCACCTGTCAGCAGTGTGATTTTTATGTGCACACTTTGTACAGTACAAGGTTTGCATGTTTCCTTGTCCAGTTCCTCCATTGTATCGTCCTCGGCCAGTTCTATGAATCGCTGGAGCCGCAATAGACGTAGAACTCTTATCTTGTTTGTTTGAGCTCCCCCCAAGTGATCGTTCAATCAGTCGCTCTTTCAATTGTAGATACGATATCTGCTGGAACTGTATTGCAGCTATGAATGAGTCGTATTCTTGTGGCAATGCTTCAAGAACTATGGCTATTTTCAGGTTGTCGCTGATCTTTTCATCGGCAGATTGTAGTTTGAACACAATATTGTCCATTTTTTAAAGAAAATCTATCATCGATTCACCGTTCTTCTTGAGTTCCAGATACTCTTGCCAAAATACAATGATTTGGCATGTTCAAATCTGCCCAATTTTTTTTGCAAGTTTTTTCATTTTTTGAATCCATTCCTGTCATTCTGAGCAATGATCATCTGCAAAGTAGCATCGTTGAGGTGCATAATGATTTCCTGATACAACTTCCTCTGAACAGAATCTCCGTTGGCTTCGCAATTTTTTTCAGATTCTACATTAAAGTTTTAGTCTTTAATACAAGCTAGGAATCGTTCACACTATACAGAAAAATTTTCGGGTTCTGCATAGAAAATGAGCAGTTTTTTTGTTCGAAGCCCATCAAGATTTTTGGAGCTTGGAAGCTTCAATCGCCCATAACCTCTTATAATTGTACGTCTTAAAAATAAAAAGAATTTCCTATCAATTAATTTGCATGAAAGTCAAAATCAACAACCTTTGATTTACAGCATTATTTTTGATGTCATTTAAAAAGTTAAAAGTCATAAGTCAATATTGTTTGACTCCTTTCTGGAATTTAGCAGTTACAGTTTCGCTTCGAGTCTTTTGGTTCTAAACAGCCATGTCTGAAAACTGAATAATCACAGACAAATATTTCAATATTAGTATGAAGATCAGCTATGTTTGTCATATTCGT